GGTGTCCCCGCTCTCGTGCCCGCAGCCGCCCCGTCCCGGAGGCCAGCTGGTTTCCCACGCACAGCTCTCCCTCCATGTCTGCTCCTGCTGTATTTCATTTCCCCAATGACTTGAACCCCGTTCTTTTTAATTTTATTTTTATTGATTTCGGAGAGGAAGGGAGGGCGAGAGGGAGAGGCCGTGTCTGGCTGGCCCAGCACCCACCCCCCCCACCCCCAGGCGTGGCTCCATTCCCAAAGAAAATACATGGATTTTCAGAGAGCCGTTACCTGGGTGGGATTCGCAGGGGAGGGAGGAGGAACCGAGGCGGTGGTTACTGTGCACCAGACGGCGATAAACCAACACAGACGGCCGGCCCCTGGACGTCCCCTCCGTCCCTTCCAGCCCTCCCCCCCCTTCACCTCCACCATGGGCTGCATCTCCTCCCTGACATTCCCGCCCGCCAAGCTGACACTCCCAAAGGCAGTGGGACATCAGCTAGCACCCCTGGGGGGGCAGCCCTAGGAGGCACCCCTGGGCGGGGCGCCCAGTCCTCCCACACCCACCCCATTCAAACAGGAGGAAACAGGCTGCTCATTTGCTCGGCGATGGCAGGGTGGTGGTAGTTGGTCTGATTCAGGCACCAAGCTTCACGCCCCCCCCCCCCCATGCCCCCTGAATGCCATGCCCGGGAAGGTGAGGAGGGGCCCGTGGGCACCGCGGAGGTGGCGGGAGCTCCCTGCCCGGGGAGGGTGAGGACAGAGATGTCCGCTGTCCGCAGGGGAACTCGGGTGGTGAGCACAGGGCTCCTCACCCTCCGCCTGGCTGGCTGGTAAGATGCCATCCAGATGGTGGCAGCAGGGCTGGGGATCCCCTGTTATGACAGCTGGTCATGGGATGCTGAGTCACTGCCGGCCTGGCCACCTGACCAGGCGTGGCGGGCGGAGAGGGCCCTGCCAGGGGGTTCCCCGCCGGAGCCTTGTTTACAGCTCCCGTCCTTGGCCGGGGGGGCGGGGGGCGGGCGGAGATGGGCTCGCAGCCAGGCATGCTGGGAAGGCCACGGCTGGGGATCCCCAGGGGCCAGGGTCTCCTGATCTGCTTCTCAGGGGCCAGTTTCTTGCCGTCCGGTTTCTCCCCGAGTTCTCCGTCCCTTCCTGCAAACCCCACCTTCCCCGGTTGCCGAGGCCAGGCGGTCCTGCGGGCAGCCTCCGCTTTGGACAGGGCCGCGCCTGGGGCCTTTCCGGAATCCCGGGTTCCCCAGACCAGGGGCTCTGCTTGTGCTCCTTGTGTACCCTCCACCCCTCAGCCGGGACGCTGGAGCCCTGGGAGCTGGAGGCGGGGCTCCTGGCCCAGTCTGCAGGGGTTGCAAGGCTGCTGAGTCACCCTGGGCACCTGTAGGCCCTCCAGCCTCTGCCCAGTACTGCCCCTCCCTTGTCCCTGACCCTGTCCGCGGCGCGGGCGGAGGGTCACTCTCCCAGGTTCGCAGTAGGAATGCTGGCGGGCCTGAGAGGGGCTGTCCTGCTGCAGGGCAGTTTGTGCGGGGATGCACAGCCCTGCCTGCTCTGGGACCCTCTGGGGAGGACCAGCCACAACTGACGAATCAAATCCACCCACCCTGGGGGAGGGGGTGTCTGGGTTCCCCATCTCTGCGGCCACCTGCGCCCACAAACCCCTCCATGACTCTGAAAGTACATGACTTTGGCTCAACACGTCCGAGCTTCTCCTCACAGGACCCTACCTGGGAGGATTCATCGAGTGACATCCTCTTCCCCACCCACCTCCTCCCAGGCCCCCTTCCTCCAGGCCTTGTGACCAGACAACCCTGTCACTACTCGAGTCAATGAAGCAGAGACAGGTTGCATCATATATGAGCGTTTATTCCAATAATGCCAGCAGCAGGTCACCCACAAAATCTGCTCTGCCCCCCACCAAAAGCCAGCTGCTTATATTGGGTCAAAGGACAAAGATTACATGGGGAAGCAGGCGTCACAGGCGTGGGGAGGTAGGCAAGGTGGGCTGGGGTAGGGGGAGCAGGGCCAGGACTCCATTGTTTGAGCAACGAGGTTGTTAATCTTTCCATAATAATAAGCTGTTCTTGAATGTTCCTGAACATTCCAAGGTTGACTCCTAGTCCCGGGGGCATACAACTCCCAACCAGGTTAGCAGGTGCTTTCTTTAATCGGAGCAGTAACAGTCAGGGGTCCTATTCTTATTTTATTTCTTGGCTAGTCCTCAATATTCTATTTCTGCCCCTAACAACTTTGGTCACATAAAGCACGTTTCTCGGTTCCTAGTTGTAGGGCAGTTGGTCCTACCCCTGGGCTGCCCATGGCCTGGGCCCTGGGCACTCCCTGCCGAACTGAACCCCTGGGCGGGGGCGTTCAGGCTCCACGGGAGGCGCCCGAGCGGCCCTCCAGCTGCTGGTGGGCTTGTGTGTCAGCACCTCCAGGCTCCCCTCTTAGCAAACGGGGGGCTCCTCTAGCGCTTGGTCCTGAGGTGGGCGTGTGCCCCCCGCCCAGGAAGGGGCCGGCGTGGATAAACTGGGGGGAGGGGGCTGCCACTGGTGGATGGGGGGCTGCCGAGAGTGGCTTCGGGGCTCTGCGGTCCTCCTCCCTCCCGTGCGGGGCATTCCCGCGCCGGTTCTGTTCTGCTGAGTCACCGCCAGGCCGGGAGGGTCCGGGGCCGGAACCGTGCGGGCTCTATTCCCCCCTCCCTCCTCCCTCCCTCCCCAGAGCGAGGTGTC